GGTTGCAGCCGTCATTGTTGTTTGGCAGGCCCAGCTGGATTTGAACCTGCCACCTTGGGTGTATATGGCTGGCATCTTAGCCACTTGAGCCACAGGTGCCAAGCCTACTCATTCTTTCTTAACTGTTCTCCCTGGATTCTTTGTATATTTCTCTAATCATTCTTTCTCTGCCTCCTTTGAGGGTTTTCCCTCTGTCCATCTCTTATGAGTTGGTATTCCTTACCATTCCATGCTCAACCTATGGTTCTTTCCACCCTTCATACATGGAGCCATTTCATCTCCAAATTACTACCCATTATGCTTGTGTCTCCAAATCCGTACCTCTAGCATCAAGGCATTTTTCTCAGCTTCAGGTTTGTATATTCAATTGCTTATGGATTTCTCCATCTGGATTTCTTCAAGTACCTTCAAATTCAGCATGTTAAGAACTAAGCTTATCATTATCCTCTTCCCTTCCTGCACTTTTCCTCTTCTTCCATATCCATATCCAATCAGCTATTGAGCACTGCAGACTTTACTTGCTGAGTATTTTGTACATATCCATTATCTCTTGTATGGACTACTTCAGCAGGATCCTGAGTAGTTGTCTGGCTTCAGGCTCATCCTCCTCATATCCACCTTCTGTTAAAGCTTTCACCTATCTGATGTAACTTTCTAGGGGGCAGGGCATCTCTATCCCAGCACTTCTCTCTTTGCAGGTGCTCAGTAAAAATTACAAAGAATGAAAGAATTCATCTAAAATGCGTAGGTGATCAAGTATCTGCTCTGCTTAAAAAAAATTCCTCAGTGACTGTTCATCATCTCTAGGATGAATGAGCACCATCTTCATCTCTTGCCTCTTTCTGTCTTCTACTTTCTACTCTGACGATGCTAAACTACCTTCAGACTCACAGATGTGAAATTCTGTATTTTATTTCTACAGCCTGCTCATGTGAACTTGCCCTGCCTGCAAAGCTCTTCTTTCCTCCACTTTTTAACTAGTATTCATCCTTTAGGATTCTGCTTAGATACCACTTCTTCCAGGTGACCTGCTCTGATTCCATCCGGTTCCTTCCAACCTGGTCTAGGTTATGTGTCCCTTCTCTGTTCCCATCTATACTAACTACACTCTTTGTTCTTACCACATTGTATTGTAGTGATTTATTTATGTAGTTCATCTCATCAGTCTGTGATTTCATACAGGTCTTCATTTTCTATCCCAGCACGAAAGACAATGCCTAGAATTTGATAGGAATACAGAGTTTCTGAAAAGAATGAAAAATCTATGAATAATTGCAAAAAGCTATTCCTCTGACAGTTTGACTCAGGGATGCGCTGGTGACATTGCAGAATATCCCCCAAATGGCTCAAGATGTCCTGAGTGTCTTATTTTGGCATTGCAAATAGGCAGTTGTTAACTATTCTTGCTTTTCTATTTTGACATTTAACTGATTGCCTAATAAATTAATAATAAATATTGTTAATAATTCTTAGTTTTTTAAGTGAAGAAATTTATATCTTTTACATATATATTTATACCTTTAAGGATATCATAAAACAGTGGTTCTCAACCTGTGGGTCGCGACCCCTTTGTAACAATGAAAATACATTGCGGCATTAGGAAGGTTGAGAACCACTGTTAGAAAAGAGTAACCTTCGTGTTGGTGTTATATTTATCGACTTCTTGAAAACTTTATTCCATGCTGTTGTTTTGGTTAATGGCAAGTGACTGACAAAGAAAGTCATGCTCTGTAATAGAGAAGGTATGAAAATAACTTAAAGGAAAGGTAAGGTTTTTTCATTTAAGAACAAATTCCTCCTCCATTTCTCCCTCCCTTCCTTTCTTCTTTTCTTCCTACCTTCCTTTGTTCCCTTTGTGAGACAGGGTCTTGCACTGTCACCCAGGCTGGAGTGTAGTGGCACGATCATTGCTCTGCAGCATTGAACTCCTGGGCAAGCCATCATCCTCTTGCCCCACCTTCCTGAGTAGCTGAAGACTACAGGCGTATGTCACCATTTATGCCTGGCTGATTTCTTTATTTTTTATATTTATGTTGCCCAGGCTGCTCTTGAACTCCTGGCCTCAAGTGATCCTCCCTCCTCAGCCTCCCAAAGTGCTGGGATTATAGGTGCAAGTCACCAAGCCCAACCTAAACACAAATTTCTATTATCTGTGGTATCATGATGTTAAATATTATAGCCACCAAGCTTTTGGGGACCTTAGGGAAGGGAAGGAGTCAGAAGGTAATGGGTTGGGCTGTGTCTATGCCATAGGACTTAGCTCTGACCAGAGTTTAGAAGTTCAAAACACAAGCCTTACTTAATCTGGGTGGTTGTGACAAGGTGGGTAATAAGTGGGGTTATGTGTGGGGAATCTAAAAGGCTTTTCTGGAGAATGACAATACTGAAGGGAGTCTTCTGCACTTTCTGCACTTTCTCCTTTATAAGTCTCCGTGGCCCTTCTGCACATTGCTCAGTTGGAGAGCGTGGCACATGATATCAAAATCACTCTTCTGTTTTCTTGTTGAAGTTATGAAAAGTTATGGACACAGATTCTGCTGTGGTCACTTTGTGTTTCCAGTATCTAATGCATGCTAGATATTTACTGAGTGAAGAAGTGAAGAGGAAGGAGGTGGGAATGTGAGGGCTACTTGTGTCATGTAGAGGGAGTGTGGGGTCCTGGTGTCACTGGGATTTTAGGACAGCAGAGGAATTTGCCAAACATGAATTGCATTCTAGCCTCACTGGGAGGTGGGTGGAGGCAAAGTGACTGCATCTAGTGGGAATGGCTGGTGAGGTCCAGGCAGGTTTTAGAGGCTTCAGCGGGCGAGTCAAAATCCACGAGGGTGTGGGCAGCCTGAAGTTTGGTAGGCATGCGATGTGACAATAGGCCTTTGAGCAGGTGTGAGAGGACAGCAAAAACCCTATCAGAGGTGGGGGCTCCTCCTCATGCCCTCCAGGATTGGTTAGAATTGGCGCAGGATGGGCTTGTGGCCAAGCTGCAGGCCTCAGTACTTATACAGCTGAGTAGAGCTGGCAATAGGAAGGACACTCACAACATCAGAAATGAGCATCTTTTGGCATTCTGTGCGTGTTTTTTCATTTGACCTGGTCTTAGCAATACCTCCCCCCTTCACTTTGGCTGTGGTGATGATAAATTTGACCTTGGAATCAAATGGACAGATCAGTCACTTTGTAAGCTGTTTTGCTTTCTGTATATACAGCTGCTTTTAAAAAGATAGTCATGGAATTACGTTAGCCTTGAGTATATTTCCTATGCTAAGATGTTGGAATTTTTCAGCTTATTCAGAAAGAGGTCGTTTCTCCCAAGGGAAAACGTCCAAGTTGATTTTTGCTGGTGTTTTTGTTGAGCAGGTAAAGCTTTCTCTGAAGCAGCTTGTCCTGGATTCAAATGTTGCTTCTCTCCATCACTGATTGTGTAGCCTTGGGCAAGTTCCCTAACCTTTCAGAGCTTCCAAGATGACTCCTGGCAGGCGGTTTGAAGATCGCTGCTAATGCCCATGTGGTTCCTAGTCCGAGGGCTGGCACATGGTGGGAACTCCCTCAGTGGCAGCCCTTATCATCCCCTGGGTCGGGAGACCACTCATGCTCTGGGATTTGTTCTCATGGTGGGTTTACTAGGAAAGGATGATAAATGGCTGGGCATTTGCCATCAGCACTGCACTACCAGACGTAACTTGCAAAACAGATAGGAGATAATTATTTTTCTTGATTTCTCTTTTACATTTAGTAACAGAAAATAGCTTCTGAGCTATATGCTCCATTTTTACCAGTGTTGCAAAAGCCACTTCATGGGCTCATCTTCCACGCTAGAATATTTGAAGCTGATCATAGCTTCAGGGCATTTTTTTCATTCTTGCATAAACCATAGTTTTCAGTTATTTCAGCATCACTATGCGTATCGTAGAGCTGCATAGGGGTGCTGGATGATTCCGTTGTACCCCACCTTTTGTTTTTGGAGAGGCTTTTTAGGTGGCAATGCAATGATGTTTAAGGCATTTTCTTTTGATTTGTTGGAAAATATGCTTTATTCTACCTTCCTTTAGGAAGCCTTTAAAATTCAAATTATGGGGGCGGCGCCTGTGGCTCAAAGGAGTAGGGTGCTGGCCCCATATGCTGGAGGTGGCGGGTTCAAACCCAGCCCCGGCCAAAAAAAACACTGCAAAAAAAAAAAAAACCAAACAAAACAAACAAAACCCCCCCTCAACTTATGAATAAATACACATATGATTATTACAACTCTTTGCAGCTACTCTTATAGGTAAACTGTAATATTTTTAAAATTCTTGGTAGGAAAAAAATGGACCCTGGACTTTTTAATTTAAACGTGGTGTTTTAATTGTTACTGTTATGTGGGTCATTATGAAAGTTTTGAGGTACACAAAAATCAATACACTTAAAATCCATGCAGATGGGAACAAGTGAAGCCCTCCCAGGAACGCTGAGAGAGGACACTGTCATCTGGGTTTCTTGGAAGTGAAATAAGGAGCCATAAATACAGTGTGTCTCAAGACTTTCATGGTGATCCATGTGTTAGCCAGGAGCTTCAGGTATTTTCTGGAGAAGTATATTTAGTGGTAGGGTATTTTTAACTTTGAAAATTATGTTTTATTAATATAGATCTTTTTTTAGTAAATGACAAAAATGTATTTAAGGCTGATCAAAATCTTCAGGTATATTTCCTCCCATTTTAATATGACTCTTACTTTTTCTATGTGCCTCTCCCCTGACGCTGTAAGTGATAAAAAAATGTAATGAATACGTGCCAGGGAGACTTTCCCATTCTTGCCTTGGGCAGAATTAGTTAATGATATTCACTTAGATACAGCATGGTACAAATAGGGCATATTAAGAAGCTTAAATTAGGTCAAATTTAATAATTGAATTTATTCCTTTACTTAAAAACAGCTTAATCAGCTGAGAGGGCTGAATTCTAAAAAAAGTTTAATTAAATAGTAATAGAGAGTTTATGTTTTCAGCTTATTTTGTCTTCGTTGACAATGATTGCATATGGTTTTTCCTCCTTTGTTATCTTTTACAGGTACCTGGAGATGAAGTTCAACCCTTCTCACTTGATGAAGAATTTGATTATGACAGTGTGGTGCTAACCCCCAAGTTCAGTCTTGCAGAGATAGAGACCCTCAAAGAGCTATCCGCACGAAAGAGAAAGGACAGCAATGCAGACTTAGCGGAACCCCTTGACTGATTCACTAAGGCATTTTTGTGTTTATTTTAATTTACTCTTATTCAAGCAACATCAGAATAAAAGATTAACCTACGATAATTCCCTTTGTGGAAATTTACATGTGTGCATTCATTGATCCGAGTTACCTGTTAATAGGGAGATAGAGCAGCTAAGAAGAACAAGCAGATGCTGCCCTCACAGAAGTCCCTTCAGTCATGACGTTGCTGCATTCTGTCGCTGCTCGGGAGTAGGAAAGGGGAGCAGGAAGAAACACCTGATGGGTCCATTTTGATGAGAGCACTGCACGAGGTGATGTAGGGTACTGTGTCAAAGATCAGAAACACGATCCCACCTCTTGGGGAGAACAAGTACATATGCAGAATTCACTGTAGCACATTGAGATAAATTGCTAATACGCGTAAATCACTGGTCCCAGCAGTCCAGAGATAGGGTTATCAATTGTCAGCATTGAGAGAGTAGCCTTCTGGGATTGATTGGGAAAGGCTTCACTAAAGAAAGCATCTGATAATAGATTATTTGTCACGTTACATTTCTTGCCATTAAACCATGAGGGATAATCGTTAGCAAGTACAAGGATTGATCTCTAGGTCCAGAAGCTTAAAAATACAATCTAAGAAGAAAAGACAACTAGAGTGTATAAAGGCACGTGAAGGGCTAATTGTTAAAATATAGAATACCCATGAGTGCCTTCAGGGAAGGAGATACGAGGGGAAAGATACAGAGGAAGAGGGAATAATATATGTGAAGTGATTTTTCTTAGTGAAGTAATCAGCAATTCAAATATACTTAGTCATCATTACTTTTTCTCCTGTTCAATGGATCTTATTTTTTACAGCAGATTTGGATTCACAGAGAAACTGAAAAAGAGAGTACTGAGAGTTTGCATGTACCTCCTGCTCCTGCCACACGCACAGACTATTATCAACATCCCACACCAGCGCAGTACATTTGTTTCTGCTTTGTTTTGTTGGGGTGTTTTTTTCTTTCTTTCTTTCTTTTTTTGTTTTTGCTATTATTTTTCTTTCTCTTTCTTTTCTCTCTTGTTTTTCTCTTAAATTTTTAAGTGCAGGGTGGCACCTGCGGCTCAAAAGAGTAGGGTGTGGGCCCCATGTACAGGAGGTGGCGGGTTCAAACCCGGCCCCAGCCAAAAAAAAAAATTTTTTTTTAAGTGCACAATATAATACTTTTAGCTATTTACACAATGTTGAACAATAATAAGTCTCTGGAACTTAGTGATATATAACAAAGTCTATACCTATTGAATAGCAACTCTCCACTTTCTCCTTCCCCCAGGCTCAGCAACCACCATGCTGCTTCTGCTTCTGAGAGTTTGACTGTGATAGACACCTCCTATATGTGTAAGTGTGCTGGTACACGTGTCCTTCTCTGCCGGGTGCATCTCACTTACCATAACGTCTTCTAGGTCTGTCCATGTTGTTACATATGGCAGGACTTTTTCTTCCTTTTTTTTTTTTTTTTTTTGAGACAGAGTCTCACTTTGTCACCCTGGGTAGAGTGCCAAGGTATCATAGCTTACAGCAACCTCAAACTCTTGGGTTCAAGAGGTTCTCTTGCCTCAGCCCCCCAATTAACTAGGACTACAGGTGCCCACCATAACACCAGCTATTTTTGAGACAGGGTCTTGCTCTAGCTCAGGCAGGTCTCAAATTGCTGAGCTCAAGTGATCCACTGGCCTCAGCATCCCAGAGTGTTGGGATTACAGCCATGAGCCGCCACTGCACCCTGCAGTTTTCTTCTATTTTTAAGGCTAAATAATATTCCATTGTATGTATATGCACATTTTGTTTATTTCTCCCTCAGTGGGTTTTTGGGTTGTTTGCATATCTTGGCTGTGGTGACAGGTGCTTTAGGCCTGTGCTTATGCAGGTGCTTGTGCTTATGTGTGTATGAGGAATCGTGTGTGTTTATATTCATAAAAATGCCATTTCTGTTCTTAACTAAAGAATATTCTTGATTTCACCTTACACTAGAGTCGATGATTTCTGCATTTATTTTTATTCATTCCACAGATTACATAAAGCACCATTTGTGTGTCAAACCTTATGCTAGGCAATGGGGAAGTACAAGTAAATCAGACATGATCTAGTTTACTGGGGCTGAGAGATATAAATACGAAAATTACATTACAGCTACACTGTCTGATATAATAGCCACCTACATTCTAGTTCACTAGAACACTTGAAATGTAGCCGGTGTCACTGAGGAACTGATTTTTAAATGTTATTTAATGTTTTAATTTCCATTTAAAATTAAAAAAATATTTGATTAGAAAATTTTCTAGTATATATAGAACAACTTGAGTATGTGTACTTTTTCAATTGTAAATTTTATGAAATCTAAATACAGATTATTTTTGATGATACCTTAGTGTCTGAATTTAAAATGTATTGCAAGTGTAAAATACACATTGGATTTTTGAAGCGTTAATATGAAGCATTGTGAATATCTTACTATATTTTTACTATCTTACTATATTTTGATATTATGTGTTGAATGATGATTTTGGGTTTACTGGGTTAAATATAAGATGTTATTAAAATTCACCAATTCATTTTTACCTTTGGAATAAAGCTAGAAAATTTAAAATTACACAAGTGGCATGCATAGTTTTAATTTGACATAACTGCAGTAGAGGATAATCTGTGTTGTAAGAGTGGTGTGTGCCAAGAGCTACTGAGGCAAAGTTAATTGGGAGTTATTTAGACAGCTAAATAACTCCAAGGGTCCCTTGGAGAGCTAGGGACCCTTCACAGAGCAGCTGACGTTTGAACTTGGCCATAAAGAATCAGCAGGAGTTTTTGAGGGAGAGAAGGGAGAAGGATATTATAGTCAGAGGGAATCGTATATAGCAAGCACAATGGTGTGTTTCAAGTAAAACCAGTCTCTTCTTTGGCTAGTGTATGGGATAATCAGGGTTAGCACAGGCAGGGAAGTTGGAAATGTAGGTTGGGGCCAGACTCTGAAGTCCTTGTGTGTTGTGGACTTTATTTTAGTTGATGGGGAACTGTTTACATTTTAAGCAGAGAAATAACAAGACTGCAAATACGTTTCAAAAGATAACTCTGGTAGTGTGAAAGGTAAAATGAATGAAGATGATACAACATCAGAGAGACCAAGTTCAGAGGCTGGTGAGATAGTGCGGGGGAACATAAGAGCCTGAATTAAGGCAGTGGGGGTTGAAATGCAGGGTATTAATATGATTGGAGATTTAGGAACAGTACTAGTAACGCAATGTGGAAATGAGAGCGCAATTGGGAGGTTAGGACAAGATTTTGGCGTACAGCCTGTGCACATGTTGACTTGTGACAAACCTTGTAGTATAATTGTTCACAGGACAGGAGACTCTTCTGGCTCAATATAGATAGCATTTTGGTAGTTTCAATAAAGACAGACAGACGTCATCATTTTTAAGATATCCTCATTTTTGGACTTAAATAGTTTTATAATAGAAGAAACAAAACCAACTCATTAAGAGTTTAAAAAGAACTACATGTCAGTAGAGTATATCATTATTTAACCAGACAGAGAATATGGCAGGTGAAACCTTCCGTCTGTAGGGTTGGAATACTATATTTTGGCCTCCTTTTTCCTGGCAATTTTTGATCCTGCATTATTTGGGGACAATTGCCTATTAAAAGTGACAAAAAGCCTTTGAATGAAACTATTTTGTTCCCATTGTACAGTGACTCTTGATCTAAGTAGCAAATACTTCTTCGTGACTGCCTCTTAGTTTTAGAAATCCTTTGACTCAATGGAGACAATGTTTTACATTGATTTAAAGTCTAACCATTTATGTAAGGCTATGCATATGTTCATGGATAATCCTTACCTGGATTAGGTTGTGGCCACAGTAGTAAGACCAATAAAGAGTAGAAAATAAATAGAATCTTCTGGGGGTGTGCACCAAAATGGGAGGAAGAACATGAAACTTTTAAAAATATTTAAAAATCATGTGATAGATGTAACACCCCCTAGCTTGGAGTGGAGAAACTGGCCCTTGAAGCCTGCACCACTAGCCCTAGCTTGTTCAGTACAGTGGCACGCTGGGCCAGCTCAATCCTTACATGATTCTTCTCATTGGGTGGTGGTAGCACAAAACGGAAAAACATATGCAGCTCTGATATCAAATTCCTTGATTCCTTTGTCAAAAATTCTCTTTTTATTTCCCACAAAGGAGATGTAACTGTATCCTTATGTTAAAAAAGAGATTTTCCCCATTAGGTGACCATAGTTGAATTAAAATTTGAAAAAAAGACAAAAAATCATGTGTTTGCTTCTTGGAAGTAGATGGTAAGTGAACATAGTAGCGTGTGAAATGACGTGAAAGAGACGATCTTATTGAGAATTTCCTAGAAAAGTATGTCTCCGTATGTGGAAGAGAAATCCAAACTCCTCATCGTGGTTTTTCCAGCCTTCACATAATACAGCCCCTATTTAGATCTCTAATCTCATCTAGTACCACCTTCCTCATTTCTTACTATGTTCTGGCCAGTGGTCTCTCCTCACCCCTTTTTTAGGGCTTTTACTCTTGTTTTTCTTTCCGATTGGTCTTCCTTTGGCTGGATCTGGGTCATTCAGGCCTTAGGTGATGTACTACATGGATCTTCCCAGCTCTCTCTGACAGCCCTATGTAAAGTCATCTTTTTCTCAAAAACCTCCATCCCGTCATTGTGCACCTGTTAGCCACCTGGTCTTCTCTCTCAGTATTGTGTAAGGTGCAGAGGGCACAGACCCAGTTTGTCTTTTCATTGCTATGTCCCCAGGACCTGCAAAGGGCTTGGAGCCAAGTAGGTGGTCAATATTTACTGAATGAATCACACCTCAGTCTAAGGTATACTCAAGTATAAGCTTATTCGCTTGAAGAACTTGGAGGTGCATTTCATCAGTTCAATTTGGTTAGACATTTGTTGAACACTTTTTATACTTAAGGTTTATAAATATTACTTTTAAGACTGACGATAATCTGATAGTCAGTGCAAATGTGAGGAGCCTGTCCTGGTGTTTAAAAATGTTCCATGTTCATGGGGCAGTGGCGCCAAGGAGGCTCAAGGAGTAGG